GTCATACGACTGGTGTTCTAAGACCTTTATCAGCCTGGTGACCCGCCTCTGTACCTTCTCCTGCACCTCGATGTCCCTCTTGTAGTGAGGGGCCCAGAACTGGGCACAGGACCGAGGTGGGGTCTCACCAAAGGAGAGTACGGGGGAGTGACCACCTCCCTGCTCCTGCTGGCCACACTATTCTTGACCCAGGCCAGGATGCCGTTGGCCTTCTTGTCCCCCTGGGCACCCTGCTGGCTCCTGTTCAGCCACTGTCCATCAACAACCCCAGGTCCCTCTGCCTGGCAGCTCTCCAGCCACTCCTCCCCAGGCCCGTAGCGCTGCAGGGGGTTGTTGTGGCCAAAGTGCAGGATCTGGCATTCGATCTTACTGAATTTCATGTGACTGTCCTTGGCCCAGTGATCCAGCCTGTCCAGATCCCTTTGCAGACCCTCCCTACCCTCAAGCAGATCAACACTTCCACCCAGCTTGGTGTCATCTGCAGACTTACTCCATCCTCCCGGCCAAATCACTGCTGAAAACAGGACTGGCCCCAGTACTGAGCCCTGGGGGACACCACTCGTGACCAGTTCAAAGTTTACACCCACTTCAATCAATTAAATGATTTATCAATTAACTTTCTTGCAGACTGCCTGCGAGTAGCTGTTAAAGGAAATCCCACCATAGTGCCAAATGAGTGATATCACACATCTACGCATAATTTGAATCAAAAAAACCCATTTATTTTAAGGCTGAGCAAGAGCACCTTTATTTCTAGAAGGATGAGCTAAAGCTTAAACAGTTACTTAGGACAGACTATTAGAAATGTGGTTTCTGCAAGCTTACCATAGATCACAACAGAACCGTTAGGAACTTTAACAGATACAATTAGGTGAGAGGTTTCATTAAGATTTGTGAATGCTTCAAGTGCATTCACAGCAGTTTGTCTTAAAAAAAGCGCCTTCATGAAAAGAAGCAAAGCTGAAGGAGGGTCTAAAGAAATTATAGTTCCATCATCTCATGTGGTTGCTGTTTAAAAAACCACAACAGACACAAAACTGATCCAATATTTAAGAAGACAAGACCTCACATTAAGCTGCAGAGTGAGAGCAGATGGCAGCCCGTTGTCCTATTATTCATTTTGCTGAAATTGCACTTGAAGAATTTAGGGGACAGATATAAGTGTTGGAGTATTTAAATTTGCAATGGAGCAATAGTAAGGTATTTGCTACAGTTAAGCACATGCCTTAATACGCAACTTTGAAAAACACTATTTTCCAAGACTTGCGATAGTAAACAGCCAACACTAGTGGATTCAGTACCTAAAGGCTTCATAATTGTTTGATTTTTGTGTACAGGAACATAAAGCCATTCAACCTACACACATCAGAAGTGCTACAAGTATTGAACACATTTTGCTATAGACACTAGGTTTGGCTTCTCAGCAGCTGAATTCTAAAGGTTTCCTTACTTTATGTTTTTTAATCCCCAAACGTTCCTAACTGAAAAGTATACTTAGAGGTAACTTCTTTAACAGCTAAGGAAAATGAGCATTCAAACAAATAAAAAAAGCATTTTAAACTGAAACCCCAAAATTTTATTATCAATAACTGCAACTGAAAATTACACTCATGATGTTACGAAGATGCTACGTGCATGGCATAAAGCATTTGGATTTCCTTATAGATTGTTATCTTACCAAAATGGAGAAGGGTAGGGTAATTTCCTGACACGTAAGAAGGGAAACATGGCAAACAGGATAGGAAACAAAATCTGGAAAGAAAAGTCAAGGAGAGGAATGTCTAGAAAAAGATTCTGAACAAAAAAAATTATTTTACAAAGCAGGAAAAAGAAACATTTGTAGAAGAAACAGAATCGCTTTACGTGTTCAGCATGCTAGTATTACAGCTTTAGTCTTTTACAATATTTTAATTGAACAGTGAAACATTTATGCAATTTTTCAAATAAAGCTTTAAGAGAAGGTATTTCAACATGATCAATGTTTTTGAGCATTTGTCCTTATCTGATGGCTGGGGGCCTAATTTTGGTATCTAGCTTACAGAGTATTTCCAGCTTCTCCCTATGCTAAATTGAAAGTGGCTCAATCTACATCACACTTCGTGGTCAAACTAAATGTAAAAAAAATAGGACCCATGCTTAAAGAAATTGGTTTTCTGAAAAATTCAATCCCTTCAGGACCTCAATCTAAAGGGAGAGAAAAAATATTAATACTCTGGTAATGCAGTTGCCAACCTAAGCCATATAATTTCCCCCACATTTTAGTATCTATTCTAGTTCTTGTAAGATTAAATAGTCTTAAACTTTAGATAAGGACTCAACATCTTTGGAGTTTTACACAGCCTTAGCTGCTGCACAGAGCATTACATCTTTAGTAACACAGTGCATAAAATTCATTACATTTTACTGGCAGGAGTCTGGACTAGTCTCTTTTCAGTAGTAAAACTACACGTGACTCATGCAGATCATTTTAAACAAAGGCATAACAGAGGATTTTTGAAGTTTTCCTTAAGTAGCAGCTCCTTGACTGCTTGAGCAGCCTTTGCTTTGCATCAAACAGAGACCACTGAACAGACCTCACCCACTCGCTTGCTGTGCAGCCCTCTGCCCTGCGCCATCTAGGTATTAAAATCTTGAATTTCTCCACAAGCCCGTAAAATCTCATGTTAATAAAACAGAATTCATAGATTATTTTTTTCTAAATCTGTATAAAATTAGGTTTTACACATATGAATATCTAATAACCTAGCTATGATGTTGCCACTCCCATTATTAAAGATGACAAACTGTACTTGGAGAAAAAAGAAGATATGCCTTTTGTTTTCATGGGGAGTTTTTTTCCTGTGGGTAAAGGATACTACACCGTGTAGTAACACACCTAGCACAATCCTAGAGGCAAACACTGAAGGACTAGGATAAGGCTTACATGGTTAAGGCTAGGTTGTCCATTTTTCTTTCATCTCTCAGCTTACTTTGGCCTGAAAGTGCTTCTTCCACACCCTCACTCAAACTCACCTTTAAAGAGGCAATAGTTAAACTGCCAATTCAAAATATGGTGTTTCACAACATATGCACAGATGTTACTTGGGAACAAAAAAAGAGCCTACAAATACTTTAGGGCAAGGCTGTTAATATTTCTAATATTTCCAGGATACTTTAATACCTAGAGTAGTCCATTTTTTTGTGGCTCAAAAAAAAAAAAAGTAACTTCTGTACTAAAAATATTCACTAACTAATCTTTCCTTATACAAAATGTTTAAGCTTAGAAGCATATTTTAACATGTTAACTGAAAAATCAGGAGTACTCTTGTCTACTCCTAAACCACTTCATTTTTTTAATGCATTTTTTTTCCCCCACATGTATTTATTACACTTTAGGGCCAACTATTCTACAACCTGAATATTGCAATTGGCCTAAAAAAAATAAAAACTAGGCTATAAAATTTCAAAATGTATTATTACTACAGCCTCTTTCAAGAGGAAAGGTTGCATTTGAGACCTGCAAGCCAAACACTGTAGGTATAATTTACTAAAGCTTCCTCTGCAGTAGTTAATCATATAAAAACAACTGAGAGTTTTAAAAAATAACTATGCCCACAGCAAAAAAATCTCTGCCTAGCAGACCCACAAGAGGACTGAACCAGTTTTGCTGTCAGTAAAGCACAAAAGGTAACTATATAACAGATCAGAAAGCCTGATCATCAATGTGGGTCCTTTAATTAGCATCAAGGTTGTTACTGGACAAGTTTGGATTTCAAGACATGCCAGGTTTGGCTCAAGGTGCATCAAACAAAGCCATAAGCATGAAATTCAAATGTCCAGTGCTCCATGACGGCCTAAATTTAAGGTATGATAAAGTCATAACCTAGAACAGCTAGGAACTTAATCACAGAATGCTGAAGGAAATGGCCTTGCTAAAAATATGCAAGTTAGCTAGAAAAGCAGAAGTCATCCGAAATGCAAGAGCAGAACAAACAGAACCAGCCAGTAAGGAAAACAATTTCATAAATATGCAAGATAAAAGTGGCAGCAAAAAAAACATGCTTTCGAATTAAAAGATCAAACCATTACCTAAGCCTCTCCCTTCCTGTCATCTATTACAAAACAAAGCTTAGCAGCTACATCCAAAGAGCCTCCTGACACCCGTTCATCACTTGCTCACTTACCTTCAGCTCCCTACAGCAGCTCTAAAAATAATAAAAATGTACGTTCTGCTGAACAGGCAAAACTGCATTCTGTGTCATTTTGAGTAAATTATTTAAAATGCTCCTTCTAACCTTGTTAAAGGCTGCAATTCTAACAGAGAGACCCAAAAGAACGCTTTATTCTTCTCTTACCTGATTCTTTAGAGCTCTTTACCACAAGTGAGTCTACCTCTACTGATTTTGGTCTGAGTAGTACTGGTTCAGAGTCTAACTTTGGTTTTCCTACTGGCTCAACTTCAGATTTCGGTCGAAGAGAAACAACTTCTCCATTAGATCTGCAGTTTAAAAAACAAAACAAAACAAAACAAAACATACCCAGTCAAGAGATCTAATAGTTTACAAGTTAAACATACCAACAATTTGAAATAAACTGAAAAATTCCAGTAGATTTTAGAATTTCCTAAAGCCTTGTTTAAATTCAAGTCTTTCAGAGAGCAATTTTAGTCCTCTAAAAGCCAATTCTTCTGTTCTAACTCTTTCAGTTGTCAACTATGCGCAATCCCCTTGTAAGAATAACCCAAAAACTTTTACTACAGGACACATTTTGGCACTTAAGTCCAAAATACTACACTTCAGTGCAACAGAAGAGAGCTGAATAGCACCTTCAGTAAGATCTCTTGAAATATTTAGAAACGTACTCAAAATCCTTGGCATCAAAATCTTCTTGCAAAGAAAAAAAACCTGCCAAGAACAAGTTATATCTGAGTGTAGAATAAATTATCTTATATATATGGCTTTTATTCTACCACGCATTCTTTGCATGTCTGGCCACACCGTCTAAGGCTTAAGGAAAAAAAAAACAAACCCAAACACCAAAACAAACAAACATTTTCCTTTACAATTCTTGCCATCATTGATATTACAGCTTAAAAATAGAATCAGAATCCTTTACACTGAAAAATCGAGTCCAACTGTCCCGGAGCACCACATTGACATGTCTTCTAGGGATGGTGAGTCCACCACTTCTCTGGGCAGCCTGTTCCAGTGCTGGAAAACCATTTCAGGAAACTTATCTTCCCCAATATCCAATCTAAACCTCCCCGGTGCAGCTCGAGCCCATTTCCTCTTGTTCTGTTGCTTGTTACGAGAAGAGACCGATCTCCACCTCACTACGGCCTCCTCTCAGGCAGCTGTAGAGAGTCTCCCCTCAGCCTCCTCTTCTCCAAACGAAACAATCCCAGCTCCCTCAGCCGCTCCCCGTAAGAGTTGTGCTCCAGAGCCCTCACCAGTTTCACTGCCCTTCTCTGGACCCAGCCCAGCACTTCAGTGTCTTTTTTTATACTGCAGTGCCCAAACCTGCACGCAGTACTCGAGCTGCGGCCTCACCAGTGCCGAGCACAGGGGCGTGATCACTTCCCTACTCCTGCTGGTCACACCATTCCTGACACACACCAGGATGCCCTTGGCCTTCTCGGCCACCTGGGCACACCGCTGGCTCAGGTTCAGGTGGTTCCCTACCAATACCCTCAGGTCCTTTTCCACCAGGCAGCTTTCCAGCCGCTCCTCCCCAAGTCTGTACGTTGCCTGGGGTTGTTGTGACCCAAGTGCAGAACTCGGCACTTGAGTCTTGTTGAACCTGACCCCACTGGACTCAGCCCATCAGTCCAGCCTGTCCAGATCCTTCTCTAGAGCCTTCCCATCCATAAGCAGATCTAGGCTCCTGACCAGCTTCATCATGCCCACAGACTTACTGAGGGTGCACTGGATCCCATCATCCAGACCATTGATAAAGATGTTGAACAGAACTGGCCCCAGTACGGAGCCCTGGGGGACATCACTTGTGACCAGCCACCAGTTGGACTTAACTCTGGGGCCCAGCCATCTAGCCAGTTTTATTCCCAGCAAAGGGGAAGCCCAGCCAAGCCATGAGCAGCCAGTTTCTCCAGGAGAATGCTGTGGGAAATGGTGTCCAAGGCTTTATTACAGTCCAGGTAGGCAACGTCCACAGCCTTTCCCTCATCCACTGAGCAGGTATTTAAGGGACAACCTTTTTGATGAGGCAGCTGTTTGCTCCATTATTTGTACAAGACCAAGTGCATCATAACCTTACTTTCTCATGGTTCTTTCAAGTCAACTAAACATCCCAAAGGGGCAGTTACCCATCAGCAGTTTATTTACAGTCTTGGGTAAGGATCTAGCAAATACTTTGATGGAGACAGGAAGGGAAATTATGCGTGGGCGATGCTAAGTTAGCCTTAGTGAAATACCATAAATAATTTTTCCAAACTCCTGAGAAAAAATTTTAACTGGATCTAAAAGAAATAGTGAGTGGTTACTTTCTATTACTCTCCTGTTTGTCCAGAAACTCAACTAAGAATACTCAAGACAGAGTACACAGACTGGATGCAGTTCTGTAACAAGTACTTTCTTCCCCATAAAAGCACGTGAGCAACACTGAGTATCTTAAGTACAGGGAGTAACTGTCCTCAACTCTTCCTATCTCTCTTATTCTATATAAAGTGTTGAAACATTGAACACTGATGAAGCTCAAATGTTCATTTTTTCTTCCAACACTGTAATAATTCCCAAGTACCATGTCCACAGATTCTTTTACACCATACTGCTACTGTAGCTACAACATTAGGGGAAGGCTTAAAGCAACGTAGTCCACAGATCTGTAACTTCATCTGCCTCGTAGTTGGTTACGCTGTAGTATTTATTCTGAGATGGATTCAACGTCTTGAAGAATTAGGAAGTTGTAAGTTCACACCGATAGAGTCAGAGAACCAAGACACTGGTAGATGTAGGGTAAACTTATCTTTGCATCCTTTTCACCCTTCAAGCACACATTTCTCCCCACCACATCCATGAAGGAAGATGGAACAACAAACCAAATGAAAATATATGATTTAAGTTATACTGACTTGGATACAGATGATGGCAAAACAGGTTTATCTGGACGTTTTGGGTGCAGGAGTCCTGCTCTCAGTAAGCTGTTCGTCTTGCTTGGAGGAATAGGCTTCTTGGGTGGTACTTGAGGAGCTTGTGGCTTCAAAGGTTTCTGATCCAAAGCTCCTTTTTCATCTGACAAAATAAGTCACCATAACATTTTAAAAACTCCCGTTGTCTAGAATTCTTCCAATGCTAATCAAAGCTGTCAGGAATACTTTCTTTGAAGATCAGATAAAAGCCAAAAGTAGATATGCAAGTGATACCTTATCAAAACACACAAACTACTTACCCGAACTTAAAAACCATCATGCTGAAGTAAGCAAAATGTCTTTCTACTAACATGAAACAGTAGTAAGAAATTATGGATTCACATTATTGTACTGCAAATGACAGCTAAGAATGAGGAATCTCTCTGTACTGCTACTGCTTTCTCTTTTCTATGAATTTTCCTTATCTCCTCTTACAAAGGTAGGGTTTGGTTTTTTACTTTGTTGTAACCAGACTTCTTCCATACACACAAGCAGCATAATTTATCCATGGAAAAAAGGGGAGAGAAAAGAACATTTATCTTAATAACTGCATTTTTTTTATATAAAGTCTACCGCCCTACAAATTTAAAATGCAAATGAAGTATGGACAAATCAAACAAACAGAAGTTAAATTTATTGTTCAAGGATTGCATGACCTAACTGAATACTGTCCAGAGGACCTGCCATATAACATATGAGACACTGAAAAATTCAAGTTGCTTCACAAATATTAATTGAAAAGTCTTCAACCCATGTTCCTTAGTCACACGCTGTGGATATCCAGAGCATACCTTCTACTTTCCCTTGTAAAACTACGCTAGAGCTCCGTCAGGCATGCACCAAGCACTGAAGATTTAAAAAGGTTATTGTCAGGTTTCAGTAGGGAATGACAATCCTTTACACCTACTGCCCTTGCAGGGCAGTGAATCAGCAAACTGGGATGGAAAGACTGACTTTCAGCTTTGATTCCCCATCCTTCCCTCCTGTGACTTTGCTTTTAGTATCAGGTTAAAAAAAAATAAAAACACTGATGTAGTGGCAGGATTTTGCCTCACGGTGGTGCTGACTGTCCCGTTATCAGCGCTGGCCACTGCTGCTACTGACCCTCTACGCAAGGTGTAAAACCAAGTTGAGAATTATGCCTTTTGCTTTTAGGAATAAGTAAATTCATAAACAGGGCAGAAAAGATACTGTCAGTCAATTAATTCCTGAATTATCATCTTGTCAGTTTACCCTTCTGTTTACTCCCACTCAAAATCCGAATATAAAAATCGTCCACAAAGTGGAAGAAATTAATTCCAAAGGTCAAGATTCACCATGAGCACAGCAATTGGGCAGTCCTTTAAAAAAAGCGTCCTTTAAATTTTAAGAACAAAGTGCTAAATATCTCCAAATTCTGTGGAACTGGAAGACACGGAATATATTGGGCAGTTCTGCTGGACAAGATGGTATCCCTCTTTCTTGGATTTTGCTCCACAATAAAAAAAAAGTTGGCTAAAAATGAACACATTTGTGACGGAAATAAAAATATTAATCTGAAGATATTTACACTGGACAAAAATTTCCACATGATACCACTAAAAGTCCTTCACTATAAAAACAGAAATACTTATGAGGACTGCTTTTAATTTTTGATCAATCTCCGATCGCAACAGGCATAAAAAAAAAATTACATGGTTTGACAGTTTGTGATTAGAGCTGCTCAATTAATTATTTGTAAAAAATCTAATTATAGTACAATTTCATACTTAATGAATTTAATCATCAGTATCAACATGGTTACAAGTAAAACTGCACTGATAAATGGGTATTTCCTCTAGTAAAAACACTACTGCTACCTAAACAAGTAACTTCTAGGACCTGACCTTCAACTGGATACAAGATAAACTTTAAGGTAGAGAAGTGTCCTCCACTGCCATAAATTTTTCAGAGGCTTTCATGTTCCTAAGCATTTTGGATGATGTTACTGAATATTTTTTTTCTATATTCCTCCAGAAACACTCGAGCTCCACTAGCAAAGGCTAACACCATAGTGCAAGCAGAACCAGTCTAAAGTTAAACTTATTTCAATTTAAGCAAACTTTTAAAAAAAGTGGTAAATTTCTAGAATCACACACCTGATCTCAATTCACCCCTGAAGATACTGTTCCAAGTGATAACTGTTTGCTCACATGCTGAGGAAACAGCTGATTTTAACAAGAATTCTTCGTAAGAAACACTTGAGATTATGCTTTGTTTGAAAATGTGGGTTATAAAAACTGCCCAAGGAAGCCAAGAAACCCACTGAGCAAGTTCACTCGTCAAGGTGCTGTTTAGCCGTGGTCAGCCACAGTTCCCCATCCACAGAACTGAAAATGTTTTTGGAACATGGTTAAACTGCAGTAACATCAGAAGTTCTTCTTCAAGACCAAAGCAGCGCGTTTGTTTAAGCTTCTTGACTTCTAAATGCAATGAAAAGTTTAACAGTTTGACTTGGCACGTTTTTCAAACATGAAGAGAAACCTTTTGGAAACGTGTTTGGGTGGTAACAGTAGTTTTTCTTCCAAAAAAAAAAAAAAAGTGTCCTTTAAATTTTAAGAACAAAGTGCTAAA